GGAGAGAGGGAGGTGATCCAAGACTTCCCAGGTTCTAGGCCTCTTCCTCTACCTTCCCTCCTCCGTGAACAGCCCATCACCCAACCTCAAGTGAGCAAGCAGTAAGTACCCCTTGCTGTTGGGAGGCCCGAAGTCGCGAGGCCTCTTCTGGCTTCAAGTTAACTACAGTACCAAGTCTGCGCAAGTCAGAGTTACAGTGGGAGGGAGGAGGCCCTAAGGCCTCCAGTCAGGCCCAAACACAGTGGTCAGACCCCATGCAGCTTAGTGCACACTGTCCCTTCCATGTCCCAACTCTCAACAAATGCCTGGACTCGCTGGCTTAGTTACTTTTCTTGTTTTGTGAGAAAATACTCAGTAAAGTTAGAAAAGGGTTGCTCTGGCCCACAGTTTGAGTATGGTCCATCCTGGTGGTGGCGACAGCTGGAGGCAGCCGTTCACATTACACCTGCAGCCAGGAAGCAGCTAACACTGGGACCAATGGCCTTAGAACCAGGTAGGTCATTCCCTTCATTCTGCTTTTCTGTCTGGTCAAGTGCATCTTTAATCAGTGAAGAAACTTACACCGGGAAGGTGGGATTGAAGCAGCCCTTTTGTCTGGCCCAGGTCTCTTGATTACTAGCCTGGGGATGCTGCCTCGTCCCTAAGGCTTCCTAGGTCAAAGCCAGACTTGGAGGAGATGATCAGCACTCTGGCTCCCTATCACTAAGACACGAGTTCCTAGGAAATCCGACTTTTCAGATGCCTTGAGCCTGTAGCTACATGGCTAAGGTAATTAAACAGAGGCCTGGAGGCAAATGCCAGGCCTTGCCTCGAGGTGGCCAGGAGGGACAGCAGCTCTGCTAGGCCAGCACACACCACAGGCATCTGTGGCCGCAGTAGCCTGCAGGCTCTGCTGTCTTGGCTTCCTACTGGCCCTGTCGATGCTTCTGGGAGCCTCTAAGTCCAGAGAGGAGGCCTGAGCATTGCTGACAAGAAGTGTGGATGCTGGCCAGCCAGTTTAAAAAGGGGGAAAATGATCTGGAAGTGTTTAGAAGGAAGAGATGTAATTATACCTGTTATATGTATATTCAAAAAGCCTGGCAGCTTGGAAAATAGGGCCCGGATCTGCAGTTTCTTCCCATTTCCTGCAATTTCCCTTACTATTGTCCAGGGCTCCCTGAGCCAGCTCACCCTTCTCCCAGATGGTTCCCCTCAACAGCTGCTGGTTCCTAAACAGCCCTGCCAGAAGACTCGCTTTAGGCCAGGGAGGAGACCAGGGAGAGGGGGGTGCCTCCTGGACTTAGGGAACACTGGGTATTGACATCGGGACTAACCAGGGTCACCTTGCTGGCCATGGGGCACCTCAGGGCTGCAGAGACTTGGCAACAGGCAGCTGGCGGGGGAGATGCATGGGGAATCTGGAGGGTTAGGGTGTCTGGTACGTGAGATCCAGGGCTATGGGAAAACAAGTTGTAGCTCACATTGAGCATCCGGGTCCAGTGCACTGTGTGGACCCTTCGATTCCCCTCACCCAGAGCCTATCTCCAGGTTAAGCAGTTTGGGTACCCAGACCTCCTCAGGGTCTGTTCTCAGACTGCACAGCCCACAGGTCGATTCCGGACTCTGAAAGTTCGTGTGAGAACAAGACTCCACTGACAGTACCAAGAGCCCCTGAATGGAGGGCTGAATCCCAGCAGGGCACCCATGCCCCAGAGAGACACTTCCTGTAGGAAGTAGCCAGAGGGTGTGTTTGGGCATTGGTGATGTGATGTGACTGACGCATGTGGCCTGGCCCTGGGTGGGGATGCTGTGCTCAGGCTCTACAGCTGTGCCCAGCTGATGGGGAGCGAGTATGATGATAGGGTGTAACATGATGGGGGACCCTACTGCCACCCCAAGATCTCACACCCAAGATACCAGTGGTGCCTCCTTGTCCCTCCCAAGACAGTGTCCCACAGCACATCCCATTTGGTGTCTCTACAGACATCACACAGGACCCCTGAGTAGCTGTGTGAGACAGACAAGGGCTATCTGAGAATGCAAGAGCTCCCTTCTCTTTGTGGCTGTAGGTCCTCAGTGGGTTACTCTCCTGTCCTGCGACCGCAGTGAGCTCAGGGCCCGGATGCTGGCTGTGATGCTGATCAGTGAGATGCTGTCCCCTTCACACACCCAGACCCAGTTAGGACTTCAGGCTTCTCTCTCATAATGAAGAAAGCGTACTTATTTTCTTACCTGGCTTGATCAGCAACTGGGCCTCAGGGCAGCCGTTCTTTCCAGACTGGCCACTGGGAAAGTCAGGGTGTGGAATCAGCAAGTGGATTAAAAGGCTGAGGACAGAATGGCCCCTGTCAAAGTAACTTACAACTGAGGGCTTGTTAAAATGAGGTAATCTTTTTTATTTTTTTAAGATGTAAAAGTATGCTTTTTTTATTTAAAAAATTATTTTTCATTTTATATACTAACCCCAGTTGCCCTCCCCCTGTTTACAGGTCCCCCATCCACTCCTCTGAGGATGTAAGGCCTTCCTTGGGGAGTCAATGAAGTCTGGCATACCAAATCGAGGCAGGACCAAGCCTCCACCCTCACACCATATCAAGACTGAGCAAGGTATCCCACCATAGGGAATGGCTCCAAAAAGCCAGTCATGCACCTGGCTTGGGTCCTGGTGCCACTACCAGGGAATCTCACTAGGTGATTAAGGGCCGGGGCACCTCTCCCCACCTACAGTGACCAACCATCTCCTGTGTAACCATCCCTGACAGCTTTTTCCCACTGGGTGCTCTAACCCCCAATAAAGTTCATTCTGCATCTCTGACTCTCCCCTTGCCTCTCCAGGACTCTGGTCTGCTTTGAGCAGTCTGGGCCTCTAAAGGATACCCCAAAGAGCCTGCATGCAGGGGAGGCCAACCACTTGGGCTCCCTTTGCCTCCTACAGGCAGAGAGTGGCCTATAGAGTGCTTTAATATGAAGCTGCCATTATATTTCCCTGGGGCAGGCTGTGGGAATGATTAAAGGCTGAGTGTGGGAAATGCTAGGAATGCCTGGGATGGATGATCCCCACAAACAGATCTTATCGCCTACTGGGCTGTGCCCACTGAGGTGGCTCTAGGCTTAGCAGGCAGTGATTGTGACCGCCTGGGACTGTGAGGGGGGAAGGCAGTACATGTGTCTTTGTCCTTAGCATTGCAGTGTCCCATATTGCTGTTTCCCAGGTCGCCTCCAAGGTGGCATCATTTTATTTCTTGATGGCTGAGGCCTCACACCCCACTGGACTATACCCTTACCCCCTGCCTCTACCCTCAGCCCATTCACTGCCACGAGGCTACTGAGCTTAGTGGAAACACAGGGACCCTCTGCTTCCGATGCATTTAGCAAGAGAGAGATCTCATTGCTGCTGGCACCGCCCCTTCCTAGGAAAATGCAGGTTTAAAGGGTAGACTTGACCAGCTCCTTATCTGAAGAATACTAGAAAATCCAAGAGCTGCCAGCACCTCATAGGTGCCGATGACACCCTGCCTCAAAGATCCCGTGCCACTGAGCCTATAGTGGAGGTCTCTGGTCCTAGGGTGTCAGATGAGCGTTCCAGAGAAAATGGGAAGGAGCCCAGGGCCATGCGGCTGAGACAGTCACTTTCCCTCAAACTCTCTGGCCGAGTCTTGGACTTGCTTCCTTCCCTCTAAAAAGCCCACAGGATGAAAGGACCTGAGGCTGCAGCCTGGGGGTCGTGGGAGCAGCAGGGCCCTCAGTGCTGCTTTATTTATATGGATGTAGCCCAGGTAACTCAGGCTCTCCCTCCCGCTCTGAGCCGTCTCCTTTCAAAGCCTGCATGTAGGGGTTGAGAGCAGTCCCGTCCTGCCCATCGCCCAGCAGCACTTAGCCTTGCAGAGCTGCCCCAGAGTGGGCCTGTCTCTCCGGCACCAGCACACCCTGCTTCCCAACAGCCAAGGCAGAAGTCCTCTCTGGTCATGGGAACACAGGATGTGCCCAAGCAATTAGGAGCCAACAGGCTTTAGAAGAGGGAGGGGCTCATGTAAAGCAAGAAGGTGTTCATTTCTTTTGCACTGCATAACCCCACACTTAAATCAATGTGGCCTGACCGCAGGTCCAGTATCCTGCATCCTGCAAGTGGCCATGTAGTTACACCGCCCTTTGTGTGTAACTGGTGTGTGCCTGGTGAGGCGGCTATGTGCCATGGCTCCATGGCTGTATGGTGGGTTGCAGTTGGCAGGCTGATGCCTGGGGAGCATGCCAGCCGCCACCCACTGAGCCTTGCTCTGCTGAAATGACGAGGGGGGGACAATGACCATGAGACCGTTAAGTCCGAAAGAACTTCCTCTTAACAGAAAACGCACAGAACCAGTGTTGTGACTATGCTTAATTCCTGACCCTCAAAGTGCTGAGGCTGCCAGTGTGAGCTATCCAAAGCACACGCTTTTATCTCACCCTATTTTAAAGGCAGTAAGCATTTCTGGTGAAAGTAATGAGGTAATGCACTAGAGCACCCACTAGTCCCCTGCAGGGCTCCACCCTGGAGGAAACTGCCAAAATGGACTCATCTTCCCTTGCCCAACACAGAGTGAACACAGGAAATGGGAAGATGGACTTCCGTAGCAGTGCGAATCACAAGCGTCACACTACACCCAGGGAGTAGAGCCACCAGGGAAGAGACAAGCATGTGCTAGCCAACATGGCTGAGGTCTCTGGGCACCCACTGCTGAGAACACTGTATCCGTGTGCGGGGCTTCAGGAGCAGTAGCTCCTCCTAGGCATGGGCAGGGAATATAGCCAAGATAAAGGCTTTCTCTCTAAGCCCCTCCTCGGTGGGCTCCACAACAATCCAGGGCTGGCCCATTTCAAAAGGAGGAGGAAGAGAGGGGGAAAGGCAGGGAGGTGGCAACAGCAGTAAGGCCAGGCAGACTGTTCTGGAAGATGAAAGTATTCTGTACTGTCTAATGCTGACCATTCATCCCCATGTGCTGTTCGTGCCTGACAGAGCCCAGTGCTACTAGGAAACCGACTGCTAATTTTCATTCACTTTTAATTAAGTTAAATGTAAATCACATGTACTAGGAGCAGCCACAGCAGGGGCTCAGTACAAACTCACAACTTAGGACAACTTACAGAGGGACTTCCAAACAGCAACACCAATTGACACTAGCTTATAAGGACTCTTCCCCTTAGGTTCCAATATAGGTGAATGACAAAAGTCTTCACTTGGGACTGGCACCCTGACTTTTGGTAACGGCATCAGACCTTGTGTCCATACCCACGTCCCACGCTCATCAAGTGAGCCTGCTCTAGAGGACAGCACTCTGCCAGTGTGTGGAGGTTCTTCTTTCCCTTTCTGCTCTAATGTGCACTGTTACAAGAAGAACAAATGCTCCAAAAAACCCGCTTCAACATTGTGTATGAATGGCCTGAACTGCAGGGAAGGGATGGAAGGCTCAGCATCACCACCAGGGGTGTGTGTGTGTGTGTGTGTGTGTGTGTGTGTGTGTGTGTGTGTGTGTGTGAGCGTGCATGTGTGTGCGGTGCAGACACAGGAGGAGGAGCCACAGAGCCATCTTTATTTCTTGCAGTGGAGAAGACCGAAGGGCATGGGGATGTGGGCATCCAGTGGGAGCTGCTCTTTCAGAGCAGACCAGCTTTGTTTTGTTTTTTTCCCCAGATGATTCCAAAATAAAAATGGAAGGTTCCAGAACCTTTTCAATGGAATTTGAAACTTTCATTAGCTGACTAGGCACAGGGCAGGGCAGACTGTTTTTGTTAGACTATTTTTGACTGTTGTTACACCATTTCTTTGGGCAATTTCTTGATCATTGCCTTTTTCCTGTTGACTTGCAAAGCTCCGGAGTTCACAGAGTTGGGCAGAGCAGACATATTCATGGCTGTGACACAGCTGGGTAGAAGGGACAATTCACTTCAGCCAGATCCACTTGTCACCCACCTCGGCATTGTACCCAGGGTTGTACTTGCGGCCTGGCAGCTGTGGGAGGAAGGCATTAAAACACTGGTGAGTAAAGACCATCTTCTCAACCCCCAGAGCTGGTCAGGTACTGCCCATCCGGTAACCAGGGGGGCACCCGAGAGCAGGGACCCATTGCCATGCAGCAGCCTTGCCCTGTCCTGGACAGAGAACCGATGAGAGAAACCCTACATTCTCACTGACATCAATAAGGACGGAGGGACAAGAAACAGCAGTCAGAACTGGGCCTTGGAAGTGCCTTCTTCTGAAGCCCTGCCTGCCCACTGTGAGTGGTGAACAGCTTCCAGAGCTGTTGGCGATGATATCACCAAAAGGCCATGGTCTCCAGGGACCTGGTGTGGAAGAGTGCATAAGGGGAGAGGGTGAACTTAACCTAGGCCTGAGGAAGTCCAGGCAGGTAAAGGACAGAGCATGGGCCTCCGGAAACCGCTGGAATGTCCAGGCCCGAAGGGACGGGCAAGACTACTTTGGAGGCAAGGGAGCTGTGGGAGAGACCTCTGTGCTGTCAGCAGGAGCTGAACGGATCAAGACCCAGGGCCCTCTGCCAGTGGCTCTGGCCTTCCCCAGCTGGACAGCTGGATGTCACAGACAAGAACCATAGGGCTCAGAAAGAACCACAGACTGGCAAAGGGCATGATAGGGACCTGCCTAGGATGACAACAGGAGGACACTCCACACAGTCAGAGCAGCTGGAAGCAACCCGTCCCCTTCCCCAAAGCTAGCAGCCTCACAGCCACTGAGACACAAGCTCCTCCAACTGTCATCCAGCCGAAGAGAAGGCCGATTCTTCTCACCTGTTGGACCAATCCCCACAATTATGTCTGAGAACAAAACACCCTTTAGAGGACTATCTGAGTGGGTCTGCATTACATTAGTGGCCAGTCAGCTGGCAAGCCCAGAGGTTTTCAACCACCATTGTCCTGAATTTTAAACCAGAGCAAGTTAAAAACCAGCTGAAAACCACCAAGCCTGCTGGGCCTCACCAATGTTGACTAACTGTTTCACAAAATCCACTCTCGAATTCTTCAAGGTCATTTAATTGGCTTATACAATCCAGTGAGGGACACTCTCAGGTTCTGGGGAGAAGGCACAGCACTTGAATATACTACATAAAGCACCCCTACGTTCCCAGTATCTAACCATTGGTCTGCAGGCTGGCCCATGCTGAATCTAAACCAGCCATTCAGATCCTCAGAAGGTTGCAAATGAAGCCCAAGGCACAGCTGCCTCTGGGGAGGGCCCTGGGCAGTTGGAGACAGAAGGACAGGGCTCTCTTCTGCATCTCTGGAAGGTTACAGATGCTCAGGTATTTATTTTCAAAAAAAGTAAGTCACTTGCCTTGACCACACAGGGCAAGAATCTGTACTTGTTCCCAACTCTGGAGGGGGTGCTGAGCCCGAGTCCCTGGCCTGAGTTTACTCACTCCAGCTGGAGTCGACCTATACTGCCAAGCCCTGCTGTTTCCAGCCCCCACTCCTCCCTATAATGCTTCCCCTTTGTATGTGCTTAGGATAAACTCCCAGAAACAGAACTGCTTGCTGAAGCAAAACAGCCTGAAGAGCAGGTGTAGGCAACGCTCCCTGCATGGGCCTAACTTGACAGTAGGGAAGCTGGTCTGGATTACTGTGCTGAGGCTGAGGCATGGGAGCTGACTCAGCACCTCCTCTCCTTAAAAATCTAACCATGCCCTTGGTCTCCTAGGATCCCCCACCAGCCAGGATGAGCACACTGGCTGCCCTTCAAGCCAGCCCACTGACTGTCCTTGCAAACAAGGCACCACCCTCATGCACTTGTGCACAAGGTGGCTATGGTGGCTTCACCAAGATCCAGTTGGGAGCTTGGAAGGCAATGGCAGGTGTCATGTTGTGTATCCCAAGTGAAGCCACTGAGTTTTGGATTTAAATAACAAGAAGAAATGGGGCCCTGAAAGTTGTAAAAGGTGCCTCCCTCTACACACCACAGTCAGCTGAGCGGACACCTCAGTCTCAAAGCAGCCAGTACAGAAAAGCCCCCCCACCCCATATGCTGGACCTGGGCTGACTTGTAACAGAGTGGCCTGCAGGCCGTGGGTTCCAGTACTGGGACCTGACAATTGAGACCCACCAAACTAACTGCCATCAAGTAACAGCGGCTCCCCAACAGGAACTGCTGCGTCCAGTCTTTTCCCTCCAAGGAGAAGCATTTAGAAACTGCAAAGCTGAGTCCTACCTGACCTGAACAGGCCAAAGTGTTTGCAGCTGAGGGAGGGACTTAGCGGCTAGGCAGAGAAAGAGCTCCAGAATTTGTCACAGGGCCACTGGTCTTCGTGAAGATAATATTCAGGCAGGACAGATGACGAGACTGGACAAAGCCTCCAGGAGCCATGAGCAGGATGAACCAGGGATGCTCACTGCACGCAGTGGGTCAGATAGGTTTCCACTGACCTCTCCTCACACACAAGAGCACAACAGAGATCTCAGGCCACACCGGCCTCCAAAGACAGGCTACACTGGAGGACAGGAAAACTGGAACCCAGTGCTAACAGGATCAAGGCTGATGTGTAAGTCACTGCACTGCAGCCAGAAAACTGCTAACACTTGTCTCAGAATAGAACAAAATCTAGCATTCCAAACCATAAAACTCACAGTGCATGGCAGCCAGTGATGCACTTCCAGACACGTGCAAGTGGAAAATGTGACCCTCAACCAGAGGGAAAATCAGGCTGACTCAGAAATGACGAAGACGCTGGATTGGTGAACAGAGCCTTTAAAGCATCTGGTAGGAAAATGCTCGCTATGTTCTGGGAACAAAATGACAGATGACAGAAAAAGAAGGGAGAACTGGAAAACAGAAAGGCAAAAGTCCAAGTTTAAAATTAAGATTCCTGAAGTACAATTTGATTGGATGGGTGTGGGGGGTCAAGCAAGTGTGCTATGGCGGGCTGCTGCTGTGGAGCTATGAAGGACCTGTCCTTGGATTCACTCTCCTGTTCATGGCAGGCTACACCCTCACTTTCAATGGCTGGGTGCAAAGGAACAGTGCCACATAGAGGTAGATGCCCCAAACCCCTAAGAACAATGGCTAACCCTTTTCCAAATGCTTTGAAAGGTGCAGATAGCACACCCCGCAAGCTATAAAGACAACCACACAGAGGTAAATCACAACAAAACCCTAAAAGCAAGCACTAAAGGACTGTACACAATCCTCAAAGAGTCCAGGGGCACTAGGACCAAAGACAAGAGCTGACTAGACTTCCCATCAGAAACGACAGACACAAGGCACAGAGAACCTCCCAAGTGTTGTATGGTCAAGCTAGAGTCTTGTATCAAGTGAAAACACCTCTTACATTGAGTTTTAGTAATTTTTTAGCTAGCCAGCAAAAATAATTTGTCACTATCAGATCCGTACTATAAAAACTGTTTAAGTTAGTCAGGCAAAACCAGGCTCCAAACCAAAGTATGGAACGCACCCAAAATGACAAGTTCAGTAAGGAGACAGAAGTAAAAGCCATTTCCAAATCCTAAATGGCAACCAACAGTTTACAATGGTTTCTAAAAGCACCATTATAGCCATGCCGGAGAGGCCCCTCTCTTCATTTTAAAATTTGTTTCCTAATTGACTTACAAAACTGAAGGTCTTGATTTTCTTTTTCCATAAAGGCATTGTTTTTGTTAACTCTCCCATCTCACACCCTTGCCTTCCCTATCCTGGCTGAAACCAACCCACACCCAGCAGTACCCCTTTCTACTTTCCTACCACCTATGTTCGACCAGACACCTTCACTTAAGGTGTCCCCTGATGGCTTCTTCTACATATGCTCTAAGTTAAGCACACAGATCTAAAAGGGTCTAAGCTGGATCTGCACATGAAAGAGAACACGTGGCATATGCCTTCTGGCCCTGGGTTATCTCATTTGGGAGACACACACACACACACACACACACACACACACACACACACACACACACACACACGAGATCTTGTAGTTTTATCCATGTACCTGCAAATTTCATTTTTCTGTACAGCTGAATAAAATCCCCTTTTGTATACACATTGTTTTTAGCCATTCAACTGTTGACAAGACATTCTGGCTGACTCACTTCCTGCCTATTGTGAAAAGAGCAGCAATGAGCACTGATGGGCCAGGGTCTCTGTAGGAGGATATAATGTCCTTTGGGTCTGTGCCCAGGGTGGTATAGCTGGGTCACATGGTAAGTCCATGTGTTGCTTTTGTGGAACCTCCAAACGGATTGCCATAGTGATATACGAGTCCACACTCCCACCAACAGTGAATAAGAGCTCTTCTCTCCCCATAAGCCCAACAGCATCTGCTATCATCTGACTTCTGGATAACAGCCATTCTGACCAGGCTGAGACGGAATTTCAAAGCTGTCTCAGTTTGCATTGCCCTGATGGCTAAATTATGTTGAATACTTTCTAAAGCAGTTATTAGCCATTAATATTTCTTATTTTAAGAATCCTTTCTTGAAGTTTGCGGATTTTTAGTTCTTTGTACAATCTGTTAGTCCTGTCAGATGTACAGTTGCCAGATATTTTCTACTATTCCATAGGCTGCCTAAATAAAAATCCTAGTGCTGAATGCAAAATCTCTCCTTATAAGCTATTGGTCACGGAGGCTCCAAAATAGGTTCTCAGCATTCTTCATGGTCACCTGCAGCCAGTCTTTCTCTGTCCTGCCTGCCAGCTTCCAAATAACCACATGGAGACTTCTTATTAATTATGAAACTGTGGCCTCAACTTACGCTTGTTCCTAACTAGTTCTTAAAACTTAAATTAACTCCTATTTTAAAATATTTATTCTTTTATGCACACTGGTTACTTTTACTCTATAAAGGCCAATCTTGCCTCCTCTGTGTCTGGTTGGCAACTTAGCCTTTCTTCTTCCCAGAGTTCTCTCTGTTCAGAAGTCCGGCCCACACCTCCTGTCTAGCTATCAGTCATTCAGCTCTTTATTAAGCCAATCACAGTGACACATCTTCATATAGTGTAAAGGAATATTC